AAAAATATGGGGTTGAAAAGGTGAATAAGAGATCCCTTTAAATGTACCACATAAATGCCACGTGTTCACTATTCACTTTATACAGTCTATCATATAATACACTGTGTATAGTGTATACTAACTGAGAGACAGCTACCACTGAGAAGTGTACATGCAAGGAAATAAGACAAAGGAATGGTCTTATTTCTAAGGTCTAAGTGTAAAGTAACAAAAAATAAGAAATGTCCCCTTTCTATTTGTTTAGGTTTTACATACAGCACAGACAGAAAATTATTCTCTTTCTTTGCCTAATTTCTAACTTGGGATTTCTTTTTATGTATTTTCTTGTCATTTATCAACCAAAAAAAAAGTACCAGTATATCAGCAACAGGCCAATCCTGATATTTGGGCCTGTCCAATTTATCATTTTAGTTCTAAAATCAGCCACAAGGTATGGTTTCCTACATAAAATCTACTTAATATTGTGAGGTGAATAGTGAAGGAGTGAATGATTTCAGACAGTCTTTGGCATCACTATTGAATTTCAATAAATAATGTTGAGTGCAGGTGCATTTTCCCTCTTGATCAAAGAGTACAGTACGCCCGGGCTAAAGGTATGTGTGTGTTTGTGTGTGGGCGTGTCCCAGATCATCATACCTCATTAGAGATGCGCCGATGGTGATTGTTCCTCATACGGACCCTCACTGGACTCTGAACCTCATCAGAGGACGTCCCGGATGCTTGGTCACTCTCCCCATCTGAACCCATCTTCACATTTTCATGGACAATGCCTGTGAAACACAAACGTGCAAAGACTTGAGACTTTTTTCAGGGATTTATGTCTTAGAAAAAGTAAAACAGGGAGAGAGAGGAGATGCGACATGCCTTTGGTACAAGGGCGGCATGTCCTACCCACTAGGCTAAAGGGGTGTCCCTTGACATAAATACCTACGCCCAGGTTTTTAGATTGTGTTTAATGACACCCTATTTCATTTCACTACTCTCTCTATGGGATCAGAAGAAAACAAAACATCTGTCTTAAATTTCACTCACCCATTATGTGAATGACACAGTAGGACCCCAACCCCCAAATGATGAATCATACCACCAGCCACACAGGGGTGTAAAACAAGTGTATAAAATGGTATTGGTAAGATGAGTAAGTACGAGATCAATATTACCCTGCGCGCAATAGGAGCTGCCATCTCTGCGTGCCAACCCCCCCACCACCACACACCTTCATGTGCCCCAGAATCCATCTGATTAATGAGTCACGGTGCAGCAGACAGGACTGTCTACTTCAGTGATGTGTGAGTTTGTGAGTAAATGTGGGGGAAGGGTGGAGGGCTCTCTCTTTGTCTGGGTCATGTACAGCACACACAGTACGTGTGTGTGTGTGTGTGTGTGGGGGGTCTCCCTGGTGTTTGTTTTGGTAAAGATAACTTTTTTCATGAAACTGAAGTAGGCTGAGTGCAGTTGCAAGCTCACACCTTACAATCATGTACCGTTTACCCATAAAACATCAGCTCCTAACAGCAGAGCACAGACAGATCGAGGGAAGTTTAGGAGACAGTGGGGTGGATGGTTTTGGTTGGAAGAGCTGATGAAGTGGAAAGAAAAATGAGTCCCCAGAGTGACTGCAACACCTCAGTTGTGGGATTTAACAACTGAGGGCTGGTTAGGTAAAGCTATTTATTACAGTGTGCTGTCTGTCAGCTGTGAAACATCTGAGGCTTATTCTAGGATTTGAAACAGGCTGGTCTCTGGACCAAAAAATATTTGAAAAGATGGAAAACATAGAAAAAAGCACAGATAAGTACTTTTAAAACTGGTTTAAATTGGTCTTTATTCAGTCTTTATCAAATTAATAAGAGGGCATAGCGTTAAAAATAATCCTCTGACTCTGTCGTTTCCCATTAACCTAAAAGCTGAATGATACCTATAGTGTGAAATTATACCTTCTGTAAGTCAATTACACAGTGATTCTTGCTCTCGAGAGTTTAAATTTAATTTTCAGGTTCTATAAAAGTTCTAAAGGCTTGTTAACCTAACCTCCTACAGTGATGAGGTGGTGGTACAGAGACAAACAGCCATACTGTTGCATGACCTAGACACAATATCTAGACAGCTATTGCTGAAATGTAGGCATCGAGTGGGCCTCCAAGTCTGATGTATAGTGCGCAGCCTCAAAGACAGGCACAAGGATACAGGGAATGGATATACCTTTGTAAGAAAATGTCTTTTGTCGCATCAGGAATCAGGAATTAACCCTCACAACCAAGATGGTGAAACATTACACTGAAGGTAAGTGACACCACAGGCTGGAGAAACTGATCCGGGATATCTACTGACAGATACACGCACAACCACACGCATGATGAGTAAGCATCACTGATCATGAGTATCACATGTCTTTCTCACTTTCTGAGAGGTCCCGATCTTGTGTGTTTATGTAAACAGCAGATGTGGGTAGATGAAACAAGATGATCTGACCAGGGAAGTAAAATTCCAGTATCACACCATTATGTTACATTCTTCACACTTTCTGTCCTAAACATTCCTCTTAGTCACATTTCTTTCAGTCTTCTGCAGTTTCTTTCTCTTCCTTTCCCATAGACGCCTAAGAGCAGACAGTAAATGTCACAAGCTACCCCCTCCCCACATGGAGCCAAGCTGGCCTAGTTAGGGTTGCTGACTCCCTGCTAGTTTGTCTAGAGGAGGGAGTGGGCTACTTTTAGGAGTGTCCTTACTTCACTCTGCTCTGCAAATACTACTTAGTTGAAAATCCATCTCCAGCACATGATAGCAACACGTCAAAAATAAAGAAAAATCCAGGGGAAAGAATATCAAAAGAAGTAAAGGAAGACTGACTTGAAAAGCCCTTCATGGAATAGCATTGGGATTTTTTCACATAAGCCCTCACTCGGCAAAGCCACACATTGAATTCAGTACATTGCTTAAGGGGGAAACAGGCGGTATTCGTAGCCACCGTCCACATCCACATTACCCAATAATAATAATAATACCACAGGCTTTGGCTTTGAACTGAATCCTTTCACTTCTCTTTCATGCTCTCAGGCGAAGAGTTCTCAAACTCCTTTTAAAGCACAGGATATCGTGCTTTTTGAATTTGTCCAGAGCAGCACGAACAAAGATACTGCGGTCATTGTGCTGACAAGTAAATGAATAAAAATTCAAAAGAAGAACTTGTCAAACTCTTCACTTCTCTGAGCTCATAGAATCCCTGTAGATAAACATGTTGCTTGGGGCCAACATGTTGCAAGTTAAGCAGGCACGCAAAGCAAATCATATTTTCACAGTAATAGGTTAAAGATGTTCAAACATGTATGATGAACAGATTCTACTTGCATAAATCTGTGTCTAAGTATAAAGTAAAAACCTGGAACATGCTTGATCGAGCTACTAACATTAATGTCCTACAAAGTCAAATAAAAGTATACAGACAGCATGTATTGATGTTTGCCACAAAAATGTGCCTTCTACCTAAATCCAAACTCTATATTGTAACAACAATCTGATCAGTGGATAAAGTCAGGATGTAGATGAGCTTCTTGAAGACGATGACAGTGATGAGACTCACCAATGCGGTTTCCTGGAGGCCGGCATGAGTCGAGCACTCGAAGCATACGGAAAGGTGACAGCCTCAGTGGGGTGTCTCTCTCCACCATTCTTACCCCCTCTCCCGTTCTAACCTCCCCCGTTTTAAGGTCTCCGACTCTGGGAACACGGGCAGAGCATCCTTGCAGATTGTCTGCCATATCCATTGCTTCAGTGGGTTTAAAGCACTAACATTTGAAGGTGCATTTAATAATGCAAATAAACATTTCATTAAAAAAATCCACTTCAGTTAAGTCCTGGAGCCCAATCAAACCGTGTAGGTGGCACCCAGGTTTGAGTAGCAGCAGCTGATTAAGGATCCAAGCTTCCTGGGAAAAACCCAATCCTTAGGCTACCTCTGTACTGCCAGAAGAGCCCCATGCAGTAAAGAACAGGTCTGACATTATAGGAATTGTGCAGACTGCACAGGCACACTAATCAAAATCCAACAACTCCCTCGGCTGCTACTCCACTTTAACACACTCTCCCTCTTCCTGTGTGTTTTTCTTAGCAGACGTTCCTTCTCTCCTCCCTCTCCTTTCTTTTTCCTCTCTGCAGTCGCTCTCCGCGTGCTGACTAAGGAAGGTCAAACACTGTGCAGGTATGCAAAATGCTGCAGAGACGGTCCAACACGTGCAAGCTAGAAACTGTTACAATCTGCCATCTCAGAATAACAGGTGTTCTGTCATCATCTGCCTTCGTCCGGACACAAGCCCGCAAACAAGGACTGTGTGCAAGGACTCACAACGCACTTAACTTGCAGCTCCTAGCAAGGAAAACACAGCCAGACCTTCCCTTTGCTTCTGTCCTTTGTGACTTCTTCATTTGCGTTCATTTTTCTTCTTTTTGCTGATGTTTTTCTGCGTCTGTGGCAGATCTCTTCTCTTTGTCCTCCTTCAACTGTTATTCAACACAGCACTCTATTCAGGCTGTTGTGCTGCTCTCCTTCTTTCCACTCCCTCTCCCGTTTAGTCCCTCCTTGCCTCTGGCGCCGCTATCAGTGTTGTCAGTGCTCCTGCTCCCTCCCTTCACCTTGCTATTACTCCCCTCCCTCTCACATGATAGAAATCTCCATCTCTCTCCCCCCTCCATCTGTCTTTATCTCTCCCTCCCGATTTCTTGCTATCACTGTCTGGGTCCAGAGATGGTGTTGAATATCAGTACAGTCATCCTCTTTTTCTATTCACGAGCCGATGACATTTTCTGCCTGATCGGCCTCTTTCTTGCACTCCATCTTGTTCACCACCTCTTTCTCGTGCTCCCCACCCTCCCTCCTCATGCTTATCGCTCTCTAGTGTAGAAAAATGAAATCCTGAGGCTTCAGAGTGATGCCTATGGCATTCTCTCCGCTCTCCCCTTTCTGCCTCAGTCCCTTCTATATTGACATGAAACAGGACACAGCAAGCACGCGCTCTTTCCTGCACATCCCACTGCACACAGAGTAACTGTTACAAATACAACTCACATGATGCTGACTATTGGCTATTAGACACACCTGGAGAGCAAACAGACAATTACATCTATACAAACTAACAGCAAGTTCAAAATAATATTAAGAAACAGAACTAAAAGCATTGGGAGCTGATTAAGTAATTTTTTCTTCAAGCTGAGGGATCATTGGGTTGATATTTGTTACATTTATGTGGTACGATCAAAAGGTCTACCCCGCAGAAATCGTTTAGTGCAAAGGCTGTTTTTAGATGAATTCCTGAGAATCCCATTTATGTAGCACTTGTAGCTCTGCGATACATGCTGGATCTCCTCCTTAAACCTGACTGTCATTTTGTTGAAGTTTGTTTAAGTTGCAAGAATGTCCTCTTGACCAAAATACCACGTCCTGTCCTGGCACATGACAGCATGCTGGGACGCAACATACTCCTGGTCATTACTGCTGAATATCCTCTTTCAAAAGATGCTGTTATAGTACAAGTCCCCAATGACCTCTCATACAAGGGACAAATTCATGTTGCACAACCTTGTTGAACAGCAGCATGCTCGTAATCAGACCTGACTTGGGATATGAAATTTACCACTTCAAATGAAAATTGCTCAAAAATGTCCAGAGACAATGTTTCTATTTCAACCAATACTTGAAATATAATTAACTCTCTGAAGAGCACAGTACCAATACGTCCTAAATTGGTATAGGATACAATTTGCTCAGCATCTTTGCGCATAAACCTAACCCTACAGCCTCTCACGTGTTAGCAAAAAAACGGTGGAACAATATTGGGCATCGGAGGTGGGATTCATAGCAGAGAATGAGACCTGTTAACAATTACGAATAAAAACAGTTGTATATGCTGTCTCTGATTCAAATTATTGCTAGAGGCAACAGTCAGTGGATATTGGTAGGACTTCGTCTTCCAGTTCCTACCACATTCTAAAACCTTGCTTACACCCATAACACCTAACATTAGAAAAGTGTTTAGAGAACATGACTGCATCCAAAATGTCAGCATGATAAGGTGTTAAAAGCCATCGTTTTGCCATCACACTTCAAAAGCCTATTTTTGACTACTGCAAAATAAAACCCTACCTCTCCCTCAAGGCCAGTGATAGGCTTGTCTTCTAAGCCTTAGCTAACCAAACACACTCATGTGGAGAGCCTCACACACCCTACATGTCAATAATGATGGGCTTAAAAAGACTTAAACAAACTTTGTAATTGTTTTAGACTCTGTAAACATCTTGGGATCTTTGAGATACCGTATTCTTAACACGCTCTGAAAGCCTTTTTTAATCTGGATAGGTTACCTTATTCAAAGTGACTTATTTGGGATCATTAAGTAAAGAGTAAAGGTCATCTACAGAAAATTAACAGACAGGTATCGATGTACTGTGATGAGCTGCTCAAAACATCAAGAACAAAAGCTCTCAACCCTCCAGCCATCACTGTTTCCCCGCCTTATTAGATTCACAAGTGCAGCTTGTATACATGGAAGATTTCTGTTTTGCTTTGCAGCCACCTCCACAAAGCTTTTTACTTCCCTCCAGGTCTCTGTTACTGTCACTTTATTTGTCCACCTTGTCTTAAACTACATTTTCTTGACTACATTTAAGCTTCTGCATTGTTTTCACCTCCTTTTTAAATCATAAATATTACGATGTGCCTCCAGACAAATAAAACAGTAAAAATCAAAGTGCATACAACATCCCTCAGGAACAGGCATACATAGAGACGCGCACTCAAGGCTGCAGGGTGGGAGAATTTAGACTGCAGTAATTACCTCTAAACCTTTTATCTTCATCTAAGGAATCTCATTATTCAATTACTAAGACCAAAGAGCCTACTGTAAGCTACCAGCTCTGTTTATGCTGGCCGGCTACATCTCAACCCCACACCCTACCCCCACCCCATATATGCAGCTCTGAAAAATACATGCATTCATTAGTAACATCTTCCTTCGCTCAGCCATAAGATTCTCAAACAGCAAGTCACCCTAACACACATAAAAAGCTTATGAGACCGACTACATAAAAGGAGTCCACTCCATTGTTCTTCCTAAAACCAATCCGGGAGTGAGCAAATGGATGGCTGAGCATGTATGCAGTGAGGCAGAGGACTACAGCAATTAATACAGCATTAATGCATTACATTAAATCCCTGGCACAGACAACGCGGTCTCTCGTGGTACGGGTGGAGATAAGGGTGGTCTTAACAAGGTGCCAGCTTTTATCTTTTGCACCATTCTGGTCTTATTTGGAGGTTAAATACAGTATTTTGATGTGTGCAGAGGGAAAGAGAAAATACAAAGGGGGGAAAGGAACAAGAGGAGACTTCTTTGACAGTACTGAAAAACAGCAGCCTGAGACAAGTTTTGAGAAAAGCAGGCAGCTTTTAGCACAGCAGTAAAAACAGACGGGAGGACCAGCTAATCCCCAACCATGTAACTACAATTAGAGCGAGCGAGAGACAGAGAGAGAGCGTGACAGAGAGAGGAAGACAAAAAGATGAGGTAGTGGTGAGAAGTAACACTGAAACTGCATTGCTCATCTTTCCTGACTGTAAGTAGAGTGTGCTGGGAGTGGGTGTTGGCCCAGATAACAACAGATATCACAAACCTGCAATACCTTTTGGACTCAGACTCCTGGCCAAACACATATAACCCCACAGCCCATTTACACAAATTAAAAGTGTATTAAATTAAACTGATACAATGCAAGTTGGACAAACACAGAGGGAAAAAGTGAAAGGGTGGGTAATCTCTTTAGCGCAGGAACAAGAGATTGCATCATCATGTCACTCTATTAAAGGCTGCAACGTGCTCTGACTGCTGAGTGGCACACAGTGAGTCAGCGAGACCAACTAGTGGGAAACACACACACAGACACGCACAGACACATGCAGTGCCTCTCAACATTTTAAACTATACCTTATCAAGACCTAAATAATAGAGTAGCCTTCTTTCTAGGCTGAGTCAAGTCTATGTCCTTTTAGGAGCTTCTGTACACTCAGTGGCACCCGTGGATTTCCTACAATGAAGTCACTGCCAGATCAACAACTTGTGGGCTCAAGAAGGTAAGATGGTCAACAAACCAATGCATAGTTTTTCTACCAGAAAACACTGATAGCTTTTTTTAAATATGTAAAATATCCCTGAATCTCATAATGAAATGAAACATTTGGTTTGTTTCTATTTTAAAAAAGCACTGTTATCTTAACAATATCGTCAATGTCGACATATAAGCTTTAAAAATATAGTATCAGTATATTCAAATTGGGAAATAAGCAGCATTATTATTATACAAGTAAGGCACCATGCAATAGTACATTATCAACCCTCCCCTATGTTGCAGTATCTGTTTTTTCATTAGGATTGTTTTAGTTTTATTCAAGCATTGTCTAGTTATCATATTCCCAGCTCACAGGATTACAACAAACCATAAGCTGCTGTTATAAGTCGAGTTCCCTTCATCTAAAGCTCAGTGACTGCAAGGAGTCTTGTTGCGGTCTATCTCCATCTCGCAGGGTATTCACAACACAAGTCTGATGTGACTCCTGAAGGAGCTGATGTGAAAAACCCTACCATTCCTCCTCACGCTTTTATCATTTCTACCTCTCATTCTCTCATAAATCACAGTTTGTTAAGCTTTATCTCATTCGAAACCCATCTCCGGCATGATCATCCTCATCTTTTCTTTCCATCCATCCCAGACTTTCTTTTCTTTGGTACGTTCTGCCCTACTGCTCCTGATATAAGCCGTTCTGCCACAGTGGGAAATGAGATTACTGGGATCTATATAGCCACAGACCACATTACATAATGTAGAGAGAAGGAAAAAGTAATTGCATGTGAGTGCTGTGAGCATGTGTTGTATGTGCGTGTTTGTAAATGTTGGATTAAGGTCATTAGAGTTTTATCCCTCCACCCTCATAGTAAGTGTTGCCAGGATAGAAAAGTTGTTTCGGTAAACACTGTTTTACACTCACACACTCACACACACACGCATGTACACACACACACACACACTCACACACACACGCCTCACCTATAGGAAGCAAAACTGACACGAGTTCAGTACGTGACTATTTCAAAGGGTGGCAGTATTACTCTGGCCTGATGTTTTGTGCGGGTCAAGGTTTATATATTATACAGCTGCAACAAGAATCCTAGTGGATCATCTGTATTGCTAAATATGACCTCAGCATTAACTACATTTTTGCAAAAGTAGATAAAGTTAATCAATTTTACAAACCCAAATGCACAACTGAATGTTATAATGTTTCTAATGAAGTTGTGGTAAAAAGGTGCATATGCTTCTGGTGCCTTCCAGGGCAGCTGTCTGGTCGGTTTGCTCTTCGTATCATTTGTGTTTTATTTGCTTTCTTTTTTCTAAATCTTTAAAGCAGTCGATATTGAAGCACGAACACGGTGTCCCTTATTACTTCCTAGTTCTCTTTCACAAAGTTCTATATTGTTCACACTCAGATGCATCTTGTACACAAAGCACATGCTCACAACACTCACATGCAAAAAAGGATCAAACACACAGAAAACACATGACTGAATGACACTGAAAACAATGAGGAAACTGACTTGTCAAAGCAGCAATGTTCACTGTGGTTATCTGATCATTTTACACAGGTGCATCATTGAACATGAACTTATGATGTAACTGTAAAAGCCAGTTGGTATAATAAGTACTTTATACAGTGCTATGCAAAAGTATTTAGCCACCCCTCATTTCTTTATATTTTGCTAGGAAAACGGGAAACAGATGCAAACGTAAGTGAAGATACATTATGTAAGGCAGAACA